AAACATGTGGCAGGACAAGCTTCTATCTCCATCATGTTCACTAAAAGCTGTGGAAAGTATTAGACTGGTGTTTGAATATCAAACAACAGGAACCCATTTATCATCATATTCTGCTTTGAGGTTCTGCTTGTTAATGCCAGAGAAGAGCTGTGGATGGATAGGTGAGGACTTTTTGGGTAGAGTAGGGGTCAGGGTTAATGGGCAAAAGTCTTTTTGGGCAGGGTGGGGCAACCTCAGCCTGTCAGTCATTTATCGGTTGGTGGAGGCCTTAAGTTTTGGGCTACCGTCATCATCACAAGGCTGATCCATGTCGTCTGAATCCAAGCGGCCAAAGGCTCGGCAACCTGAGATGCTGCGCATTCTAGGCCTGACCTGGTATTCGGTCTCAGGTTCTGGGGCCGGGTCCTCTGGCAAGGGGAAGGAGCGTAGTTCCCAGGGTGGTACCGTCTGAAAAAGGTCCATGAAAAAAAATTGTGTAAGACCCCGCCAAGGCAAAGCACAGCAAGTACAACATCACTGATTAATCAGAGCTGGAGCAGACAAAACCCCAGACATTCCCAAACCATTAGAACCAAACGAAAAAAATAAAACCAGAAGTTTAAAACCAAATTGAGGTAGACTTCCTTTTTACTTTATTGATTTAGAACATACCCGTTCTTCAAAGGAGAAGTCAGGTGTTGAACACCGAGTGTCTTCACTGGACAGCAGCCGATGGGAGTCCCTAGAGCAGGGTGTGTGAGGATTGGAGGCCGTGTCAGGACTCGCTGGACTCATGGGTGACGGCACATGGCTGTAGTCATGGAGCAATGGGCAGTGTCCAGGGTCTGGGGATGCAGGCTGAGGAGTGGGTGGGTTGGTACCGCACAGCAACGGTGTTGTCCGTCCATCTACAGATTTGTAGGACCTGAGGTCAAAGTTGTGAGAAATAAGTTAATGTTGTCCAGAACTGCAAACTGGAATGTAAAGGTGTGGCAACATATGTACTACTCACCTGCTGCCCCTCCTCTTAGCAGGAGCAAAGGCCATCCAAGTCCAGCGGGTGCGTTCCTGATCTTCATAGGGTTGGTGCAGCTGAACGAAGGCTGCGTCTGACAGGTCCTCCACCTACGGACAAAACATACTATTAGCATCCTCATTGCAGGACATTCTTATATCTATTCATCTAATAATTTATGGAAAATATTTGCCACTCTTTTTATAAACACAACCATTTCCATAAATTCTTACATTTTTCTGGCTCTTCTGATAAGGTTTTATCAAGGGATTTGTTAAGTATTATTTTTTATGTAATTATTATTAAAAAATAAACTCACAGGAGGATAGCACTACTTCTGATAATTAGAAAATACTTATAAAAACTTATGACATGGTTTCCTCAACCTGCTGATACTCTAATGTCAAGCTTCAAAATGTTGTTGAAAATGTGTTTACTAAAACATTTGTTGTTAAAAGGAGGGTTTGTTACCTAATTCCGAAAATAAATTCAGATTGTCTGATATTAAAATGTAGTCCACCAGGCGTCACTGTTCCATCACTGCTTCAAAATATGTTCTGAATTAAAACTGTAGGACCCCGAGGTTAAAGCAGCTAAGTATCATGTGTTTGATATCAACATTGCTAAATGAAAAAAGGCAAGACATGTGAAATAAAAACGAGTTTATTGTAATCAATGCATTGCCACATTGCTTTAAAAGCTCACCTCTCGTTCATCTTCCTCTTCGGTGATGGGCTGAGAAAAGACGTCCACTACCCTCCAACTACACAAAAAAAAAAAAGTACAGAATGACTTCCATTACAGCAAATATTTTCAACTAAAAGAAAAAACAAAAGAAAACCAAATAGTTATTTACAAAGGTTTTATTGAACTGTCTCTACCCAACCAGCCAGTGAACAAACACACTGGTGGTTTTACCTGTTGCACTGAACTGAAAGAGTGGGAGGAGTCTGTGTTTACCTGGGTGTGAGGATCTCCTTATATTGTAGCTTCTCCACTCTGGTTGTGGCTGCCACAGACATGGGGATGACAATGTTGTTGATATCAAAGGAGCTTTCACCTCGCCTCCTCTTAATGGGCTGTAGCTGCAGGGCAGCAGGGACGATCAAATGTAAGGATTACTTAAAGTGATTAGTTAAAAGACTGTAAATCTAAAGCAAAACTAAAACTATGACTTCATTTTTGCCCAGAGGTTGAATCAACACTTCCCTGACAAAGTCTTTGCATTAGTGGGAAATGATGTGCATTTCTACCACAGGATTTGACTAGAAACTTCAAACCTTGTGTCTTGCCACAGCATTGACCAGGAATGAAAGTTAAGTTCCATAAAATCTTTGTTATAACCCCAAAACATTTCTGCCTGGATGGTTACAGTTTCTTTAGGTTTTATAATAAAAATTTGGCAGCTAATTATGCAACAATGTTGGAATGCCACCAAAAAACATTTTCACAACAGAACATTTAAAATCCCACAAATCAATTGCTGAGATTCTAAATAGCGAACTGAGAGTAGCCTTAAGTCAAATGCCATTACCAAAACAATGATACATTATAGTTTGTAAATACTTCATCTGCTCTTTCTAGTTTATCATGTTTGACTTTGTGTTCTCACAGCTGATGTAAAAGCATTGTGATGGGAGCGACTCTTGTTGCTGCTTAAAACACATTAGAAAGTTGGTTCTAAAATGATGCACGTACCACCGGTGGTAATTGGGCTGTGTCTAGTGGTTTGCAGTGGGATGTGGTGGTTAAGATTGGGGAGTCAGCTCAGTTGTGCTACTGTATTGTACAGCTAATAGCTAATCTAGTTATTTTTCTAGATGTAATCTAGAATTATCTAGTTATTTTTCTAGCCTGTACAACTGTATGTTAAGGTTGGTTCAAAATGGTGGTACTTGAAGAAACAGGTGGTATGCGGTGTAAAGAAAAGTTTTAACTATTGTGTTAGAATATTCAACACTTATTTGAACAAACACTGTCAACAAATGATGTCATTTAGTGTATCCTTACAGGAGTGCTTGGTACACTCTGACTGCCGGGGCCCAGTGGTGTAGAGTTTTCTGACGATGTGGACAACTGCCGGCTGAGAGGGCTATGAAGGGATGAGTGCATGTTGGTCAAGGAAAGGCAGGTGCTGGGCGAATCCATGAAAAGCTTGGGTAAGGCTGCAGGACAGGAAAAAGATTGAATTTTCTAAGACTCATTCCATTTCCTTGACACAATCTGATTTTTTTTATACAACATATTTACAGTGAGGCTGATGTATAAGAAACCTTCAAAATGGCAGCATGTCTGTGTATTAAATCTTGCCAACATCACATTAAAAAGACAATAAATGCTTTGCCCCTTTGAGTCTATAACCAAGGGTTTGATGAAAATAAAGACTCACTGTCAGTTCTGTCCAGTGATGACTCTCTCAATCTCTTGCGGCTATAGTTCTTTTCATATGGGCCTAAAGATGCAGGGAGGGCCTGCAGACGCTCAGTCTTGCACATGGACTGAACATCCAGTCTGGTGGTGTTCAGCAGAGCACTGCTGCTGCCCATGCTGCTGTCCACTGCCCTCTGCTTCTCAACCCTGTTCTTATAATGCCCCAGCCCTGCAAAAACAGGAGAAACCACAATCAATATTTCATGTATTTAAAAAAAATATATATATACACACATACATACACATATATATACACACCCAGACATATATATGCGTTTAAAAATAAAAAAAAAGAGTCGAGAGAGAGTAAAATGAGCCAAATTTAAGGAAGAAAAGCTGCAGGACCTCAGCATGAGGTACCTTTAGGAAAACAGTCCTGTAACTGTCTGTCCCATGACTTTCAATGTTGAACAGTTACGGGGGGGAAAAACAATTGCACAACAAACATCCTGAAAAAAACTATTTAAATCACTGATACTTAACATTCAATAATAAGCAGATATTTCACAATTTGGTGACAGGGTTATTTTCAACAAAAAAAGTTATTGTTTTGTCCAATAATGTTTAGGTGAGAACCTTTTAGACAATAACACTGTTTATCCAGAGCTCATTCACAGCTGTACTTACTGACTGCCATAAGTGAGTTGGTGAACTTGTGCTTCTCTTTGGATGTGGCAAGCTTGTGTTTGAGGGAAAGTTTCTTCAGTGGTTTGCTCCTTTCCAGAGACTTGCTCTGCCACTGGCTCTTCATCACTTGTTGCAGCCGTAGGCCGACACAAACATCTGAGGCAGAGACAAACAAAGTGAGTGTGACTATAAAGATGTAAATGCTTTGTACTAATATACTGTGTAAGCAGTGTTGTTCCTGTTGGCAGTCTGCAGTTTAACATTCCACCCCCATCCCCAAAGTGTGATGGTATACCAAATCTAGGCGCTTAAAAGACAATATTGAAATGCAGAAAGACACATTCATTTTGTGGTTGATTAAATATTTGAAACAAATTTTAAAACCTGTGTGTTTAATCACTGGCTATTTAGATAAAACATGAAAAACTAAAATAGATACAAATATGTTTTGGCCATTGTTGCTACTTAAATACAAAAGAGGAGAAAATTCTGGAACCCCAAGAAAATTACTGGTGCCATCAACAACAAGCCAGTACAGAATTACAGAACAATGGAGTAAATGACTGAGAATTTCTTGTAGACTTCCTTAAAAGGAATCGTCTGCATGGCCACACCCTGTCTGTCTTCCCCTTTGGATGTAAAGTAGGAAATGACTGAGTAAATTGAAAAGCCTTGAAGTAAAGAGGCAGCACTGACCATCAGGGAAGGAGAGGATGGGGTGGACGCCAAGATCCAGTCTTGACAGACGTTCCAGGGTGGGTAGTTCATATTGAGGGTCTTCTCTGGGGGTGGGCCGGCCACCACACATCACACAACTGGGGTTTACCCTGCACTGGCACTGAACACAACTGCTTCTTGGGACCTGAGGATGCATGAGAAAATACATTGTAGAATTTGACCAATTACCTATGAAGTCTTTTGACTGAATTGTAATTTAGTCTCACTCCTAATTTAGGCTATACAGGAGTTTTAAATTTCAGTGTAGTTTTTATTTGTTTCCTGGCTACATACATCTGTATGTGTGTGTATTTAAATGTATCAATACATTAAACTCTTAAGTTTGTATTTACCAAATACAACGTACTAACTCCGTAAAAGAGCTGGTTCACTAATAAACCAAACTACATGTTTCTATTTCATTTGAGTTTTAGGAAGTGTATTAACCTTTCTAAAAAGTAATTGTACTTTCAATAACAACTTTCTAATCGCAGTTGATGCTGTTTTTTTCTGGGTCATTTGTTTTTCCTATTACCTTGAGAATTCCACCCAACAATTCATCTGTCAAAGCACGTGTGAACAAATAAATAGGTTTCACTTCCTTTTCTTTTATCAGAATCTTTTTTTCTTCTTCTTTTGAGCAAACAAAGATGGTTTCAGAGCAAACAAAGATGGTTTCAGACTGAAAAATTAACTTAAACTCAAACATATCTGTACTTAAAAAAAAAAGATGGCTGTGAGCAAAATGCAGCAGCAGCAACAACAATATCCTGTTTCTATTTTTTCTTGAGCTATAGCTTGTGTGTTGTCAGTAGGGGTGAATTTGTTAATTGACTCTGGGGAAGTTACCCTACTTTTCCATAAATAAGTCAGTTATGTTTTGTTTAGTTATTTAACAGGATACAAACCAATAGAATCTGAGAGTGCAGCCTGGTGACAGAAAATATAATTAAAAAAAATAAAAGTAATGAATGTGTTTTTAGCTTTAAGTGCATTTAGTGCAATAAGTTTAGTATTTTGACAATAGGGTCTTGATAGGGATTTGCTTGAATTTAACCAGGGCACAGAATCTTACCTTGCCATTAAGGTTGGGCACAGTGTTGGGCTGAATGAGCCGTCGGCGGCGGCAGCTGACAAGCGGCCGCGTTCGTGCAGCCACGCATGTGCTGTCGTGAGAAGATGGCTGCTGGTGTTTGGTGTCTGCTGTCTCTGCCATCCTGTGGATTGAACAACAAACACTGCGAATCAGGTTGGTTACACATCTTAATTTACTTTAAAATAAATGCATGGAATTAGCAATATTAATTCAACAGGACAGATTCTTTGGTTTATGTGTTAACATTAGTGGTGACAAGGTAAAAGAAAGCTGGCACACCAAGCATAGTTACAAACAACAACACTTTTTTTCTCTTTTTACAGGAGTGTAACATCATTATGCTTAAAGAACAGGACCAAATATTCTTGTTAAGCTATTTGCTGATACAATAATTAACCAAGTATGCAGGCGTAAGTGATATGTATCCAGGCTCCACCAAATTCAGAACACACAAAAACATTATCATTAAGCGCTTCCACTCCAGATTCTCAGAAGGAAAGGTTCCTCTTGAGAAACCAAAAAAGATAATCATTATTAGCCCCTTGAATCAGGTAATTTGCCATACCTGCTGAGGACGCCATTAACTGGTTGACCGTTTTGACCCTTCCATGGACCGCCCTCTGTATTGGTGAGATGGGCGGGGCCTGTGTGCTCCAGCCGTTCTGAAGGCACATCCTGCATGGATAGATAAGACAAAGGGTGCGTGAGACTACACCTTCTGTTAACTGGTAAAAGAAGGACCAGCAGCACCTGGAAAGCCCCTGGCATTTAGGGCAACTGCGCAGCAGGCAAACTGAATCATCTAGCTGCCAGGGCCTTAAATTATTTAGGCTAGATTTGTGCAAACGTCTCCCAGAGCATTAAACTGGATTTTGCACTTGGTCACTTCCTAAGCAAGTATTTACATAGCACATGAGCACAATCACATGGTGTCAATCATACACAAGTTTTCTTGTCTTCACACGAAAGATAGACAACTTAATTAATCCCTTGAGAGTTCCCTTTGGAAACTTACATTAGTGTGCTTCTCTATGCAAGTATTCAGCAGCCCTGCTGATTGTGTAATGTACGCTGTTTTGAAAATAAATCCCTCAGTAACCAGACCAACAATTTGAATGTTTTTTAAATGGTCAGTCATCATGTAGGATATTCATATTTAGAGCTGCAGCTATTGATTATTTTTGACTATAATCAACTCCTACTTTTTCCATAGTTTTTTTTAAATCAACATTTACTTTGCATAGGCAAATGACACCAAAAGAATGTAAACAATATTTCATAGAAACATCAACAGAATGCAAATACATAAATCAATTTTATATAAAAAATAAACATCAATTGGCATCTTCATTCAATGTGCACTGCAGTTTTCACCAAATATAGTATACTTTTTTTTTAAATTTTAAGTTTAGTGTTCCGACCCTTTAGACATTGTCTGCCTCTTAATTGTCTGTCTCTTCAGAGCTCTGCTGTATGTTGTATGTGGTGATGCTGGCAGTAAAGCAGCACCAGTACAATCCTCAGATAATGAAGGATTAAATAGAGGTCAGTTAAGTAAGTAGACTGAAGCGCACTGTGAATGGGTTGATTTTTTTTTTGTGAACCACTTGTCATTGTGACACAGCACACCACTGCACACAACAAAATGTGACCTCTGCTTTTAACCCATAACCAAAGTGAACAGTGGGCAGCTTTAAGAGCCTGTGGAGCAGTGAGTGGGGATGGTGCCTTGCTCTGAGCACATCAGTAGTAACTTGGCAGCTGGTGGATTCGAACCTGCAACCTTCCTGACCCAAGTCCGCTTCCTTAACCACTGATGTGAAATATACAGTAATAATTATTATTAACTATAAAGAAATCTATCCATACCTGACTACCGACAGCCTCTGTTTTTACTTCTGTCCCACCTGTAGGCACTGTACTGGGAGAAACACCACCCAACTCAACAGAGCCCTAAAGATCAAGAAACAAATGTAAAATCCCAGAGTTTAAAGAGCATAAAAATTAAAGAAGCAGAATTGACACCAGGGACGCAACAAAGCTTAATTTTAATCTAGCATTTTTTCTGATGACCGACCTTGCTGGCCCGAATTTGTCTGTAGATGTCTGTCTGCTGTCTGATGCGGTACTCCAAGTCTGAGATGTGAGCCTGGAGCCAGTTCCAGTGGCTGATGATGGCAGCTCTCTCCACCGTGTAGCGACTCTCTGCTCTCTTCCATCTGTAGGTCAAAGATCAAGTGAATATAAGTTGGTGAAGAATAAAAAGGTACAAAAATAAGTGGATTCTATATGAATTTTAGAGCAGGACAGTCAACCTTTTAAAAAAATCAGCTCCTACTGTTCAATTGTGTAATTCCAAACTAGGTACACAAAGAACAAAGAACGGCGTTGTTTAAACCATTAGAATATTTTTTTAAAGTAGTACTGTATGTCCCCCTTCACCCCAAAAGTTTTGTTTGCAGCATTCAACCTCTAAATAAGACATACTGACTTACATTTTGAAACAATCAACATTTAATGCACCAAAATTTGCTAATAATAAATTAAGCAGGAAAAAAATGAATACGTGCTCTATCATGAATCAACTCATTAAATATATTATTATGAAACACACACTGGTGACTTGATCATGACATACAGTGAGCCTTTTGAACATTTCCTCTGTGTGACTGCAGAGGTCAGTGAATCAGCATTACACAAGGCTCCCAGCATTGGTAACAGCAGGCACACTGTAAAAGCTTCCTAATCAAGCAATAAAATCAGGCATGGGCCACCATTAATAAGGTATCTATATTAAAAATAGGATTTTCATCTGATTGCCCTACTCAATGTCAAAAAATGAGTACCAGCTCTGATCGGAGTACTCCATTTTACCAGTATGACACACAGAATGGGCATTTCAAAGGCAGACATGAGAGGAAAATGTCTGCTCTTGCAGTGATGAAAAGCAACCACAGAGGGTGCCATTTGTCAAAATACGGGTTGCAGTGACCGTGAACAATGAAAATAGTGACTCAGATGGCAGACAAAGATAGATCTCACACTCCCAGTTTTTTTCCTTTTACACTTGTAACTGTTTCATTTTTAAAGGACTACCAGGAAAGAGAAGGTAAAAAAAACTGACGTTGAGTATGGAAGAAAAGGAAGGAGAAAAGCAAGGAGTAAGAAGGTTAAACTGCCTGAAAAGGAACAGACGGGGGTTTTAAAAGCAATCTGGAGGCCGTGGGGTGGTGAAGGGGGTGGGGCCGGGTCAGGAAACAGTGTAGCAGACACAACCAATAATCCAAGCAGGATTTCTGTGTTATTGTAGAGCCTTGTTGTTGCTTTTACACATACATCAGGTACTAATCAGTGCAATCAAAGATGCAATGATTTCTCTCCTGTACCCAGAATGCACCATTTAGCCATCTTAGCAATACAGTACCAAGGACACTACTGCATAATTCCTGGCTAATAACATTTGTTGTTCTGACCTAACTCTTTTAAGCTCCCACAAAGGAAGATCTTCAATGTTCACAAACACTGCAACACTCCAGAACACGCCCATGACTGGTGCATCAGATCAATGCATGGGCAAGTCATTTGCATCACCCGGTCTCTGTGGAAACTGGTCTCAAAGCAACACTTGTGGCTCAAATGTGTCCCATCAACAACTGCACAAATGGCTTGAGCCAGAGGGCCACGCTTCACCAAGCAGTGGGTGGACAACTGATCTACCAGAAAGGCACGGCAAGGTGAAGTGTCCACTAGGGCTAAGTAGAAAATGATCTTAAGGAGATTCACATTCTCTACAGAAATGAAAGAAAGCAAATTCATTGCAAAGACTGTCAAAACAGGAACTAACCTCTTAGCTCTGGCCTTCTAAAAAAGACCATGTAAAGAAGTTCAGAGAGAGTACTGGGAATTGAATATGAAAGAGTAGGAATGTAAGAATGAAGAATTTACAGCAATGCGATGAATTATTCAGAGGATCCTTGGGTCGTGTTTTAAAGGACTGATACCGAGAGAGTTTTTCAACAGGTCAGATGAATACACATTACACAAATAGAGGTCAAATAAGAGGCCTGTGAATACAGATAAGAATTACAAGGACAAAGGAAAGCCTAAAAGCAGATGTTTAGAAAAATACAAATTCTATGGTCATATGAAGACCAACAGCCTTCATTGTGACAGTAGCTGAAGAAAAGAAGGGGTCAGTGAGCAGCAGGCAGAACTCCCCCCTCGCCACACCAAGACCTCCATTCCCCTTTAACCAGGACATATTCTCCTGCCCCTGCTCCCACACACAAAGCACCATCAACAATCACTACAGTGGCTGTTTTCTGGCCATCAGCACATTCTCCATTGTGGTACCTGTCTGGATGCAGCACATAGCATGTGCACTATATACCATACTGACATGATATGAAATCAAGATAATCCCAAAAAAACAAAACAAACAAAACAAAACAAACACTGGTCCGAGAACTGAATAGTAGTAGCAATATTAAGTGTCTGCGATCAATGTATTTTCTGATTTTATTCACTCCTAACTTAAACATGGTGAAAAAATATATTGTGCACAATTTTTTTTTAAAGGTAGATACAAATGCAACTGAATCTGGTGTCGTTGCAATACCATAATTATTATTCGAGTTCCTCTGTCTCAAGTTTGGTAATGTGTAAACACACAACTTATGTGCTATCAAAGCATTTATAGTAAAAAGCAAAAGCAAAAAGACTAGCAAAATATCAATATGTAATAGCAATTTAATGCAGCTCTAAAGAACATGTCAATGCTTTTGATCCACTATTGAGACAGAGGCTCAGGCTCAATTCTTTTTTTCATACTTGCATGCACAAAAAATATATATACTACTTCCAGAACTCTGAGATTGTCTATGGCAGGGGTGTCAAACTCATTTTCAGCGGAGCCACGCCAACAATACAGTTCCCCTTGAAGGGCCGGTTGTAACTGGAAGACTGTATAGATCAGGGGTCCCCAACCCCCGGTCTGTGGACCAGTACCAGTCCATAGGTCATTTGGTACCGGGCCAAATGACCTATGGACTTCAAAAAGAAATAAAATAGAAGATGGGGGGCAGGGTTCCAGGAACAGTTTTCATGCGACTTTTGTAAATTTACGTTTAAAGACATAATGTTACAGAGACTTCAAGTACATATCCTGTTGACTTGAGTCACAGTATCTTAAAAAAGTGAAAAATTAGTCTCATTGTGGAAAGATGCTCCAGCACTATTAGTGAAAGGCAGTGCTTTAGTCCATTTCTTTCAATTCTAGTGAACTATCTATTTAAGTTAAAGAGGAAGAAAATACATCATTCCCACATACATTTCTTACTGGTAAGTTAATTTAAACAATGGTATTATAAAGGGTAATATGTTCTTCAATAAGATATGATTTGTGCATTTGTGCACCATTAAACAGCACTTTGATTCTGCTGTGATATACAAACCATCACCCTTAAAATCTTATACCTCAAGGTTTCATTTTGATTTGTTTGTTTGTTACTTGCAGCTTGGTTGGTTGGCTAGATTTGCACTGAACAGCTGGTCAAATACAGCTCGTCACAAAAACAGTTTGGGAAGATGGGTTTAGGAAAAAGACAGGCCGACAGGGTGTGGGGCAGGAAAAACGAGTGAGGGCAAATTCAGCCAGGGAGCTGCAGCAGTCATTACATAAAAGAGGGGGGTTATGTAATGCCTGTGGGTTTCTGTAGAGGAACTAGGACCAAGCTAAACACATCCAGATGTGTTAAACTGGACAGAAACCTACACAGGGCGTCACATATACACACCACTGCACACACAGCTATGAAAAAAAAGAAAAAAATGTTCAGGCTGCAGAGTAATGCTGAGCCATAAGCATGAAAGGCATGCTGTGCTCTCAGTCAACCCAGTTGCCTTAATTCACAAGCAGGAGGCAGGCAAGCCTTTTAACCATCTTAATGTACCAAGACTAAACAACTAATAAATACTAAAAGGCTATAGGTAATCTACGATATGCAACTATGTCATCTTGCAAACAAATGACCGTTTGACATTCTTGTCAAAACATTTCAAACATATTTGCCATTTTATCAATGGGTCATTATGTAAGATTATAGAGATTTCCCAATGAGCACCATTGTTGCCACAGAAACAAGAAATGGTGCCCACTCCTTTCTCGAAACAAACTGCCTGCCGTGGAACATGCCTGAACATTCAACAGTCCATGAATGTTATTGTGTACTATGCCTACTGTAAAGAGGATTTAGATCCTTATTCCGGCAGTGCACACACCTTGACTGAGCCCATTAAAAAGATTCACATTAAAAGAGGGACACAGACTGAAGCAGAAAGGCTCTGTAGCATAAGCACGCCAACAGATGTTGCAGGGTCTTAGATCCTCTGAGATACGGGAAACCACGTCGACAGAGATGACAGGATAGGTTGTAAGCAACGCACTGCAGTCAAACAAGCAGACTAAATGTTATTTTCACACAGCTGTCAAGTCAGCTGATGGTAAATAATTGAGGTGCCGCTCTCTGAAGAAGACATCACTTTGTCTGTAGGGTTGACCGACACTGTGATGTAAGGATTTAATTGTTAGCTGAGACAATAGCACTGCTGTCAATGTGTCATTACAGTTTCAAATTACCTTAATTTTTTCTCTCCTCATGTGACATGTCATTTTGTCATATTCTTCAACTAATTTTTTTTAAATGTTTTACTGATACACAGACAGGACCGTTTTATAATTATCTAAGATGATTAGGCAGAGTACCACTTTAAATGCATGGTTTCAAGACTCTTTGTAGACAGAAAAGTAATGTGGGTTTCTAAGTCTGATATTTTTAATTGTTAAAAAATAACTAAGTTACTAGAATTGTGTGAAGGAGACCAGGGAAACATTGTGTAAAACATAACTTAACTATGAATGTATATAGAGAGCTGTAATACTCCAAAGTACAGTGCTTTTATAGTTGAGCCAATGGAAATTTCTTATGATAAAGCAGGATGTTTAGGTTAGGTTTGATGAACAAAAAAAGAAACTGCTCCTTGGTATGAAGAATCTGAAGGATTATTCTTGGAATCTGGCTTTGCTGTTTTAATTAGGCAGTGGATTGTGGGCTGAAGAAACAAAATACATAATATAAGGCAATTGGAAACTCAGGTTACTTTTGCATTAACTCAAGTGGACAAATGATGCTAAAAAATCACACATGCCAAAGTCACATGACTTTTCACAAATATAATTAAACAAACAGTAGAAAAAATTAAAATTAGTTGGCAGTAGTTGGCTGCCTCAAGCAACCAAAAGCATTGACTTGGAACATGACCAATTTTAATTAAATTGCCAGCAATTCTACTATGTTTAAAAAAATGCTGATTATGTGAAACACGCATTGCATCTATTTATTTTTACGGATGACCTAAATAGCTTTTTTAATTTTTTAAAAACTTTTTAAAATAATTACAAGTAAAACTGCCTGTTAACCAAATTCTATAAATTATAAAATTATGTATCTAAAATTTGAAAAGAGCCAAATGTTTTCTGTCCAATAAATTATAGTTTGCTTTGTAAACTAGTGTATGTGTACAATATAAAACATACTTATATAACTAATTTTAAAATCATTATTTTAATTGATTAAAGTTAATGTTTTCAGTCCTATGAACACATGACCCCACCATGCCCTTTATTTAAAACACAATATTTCAATTAATGACAGTCAAAGTACTTTAGACTAATTAACCATACGGCTGATTTGACAACCTGACTACCAGCCACCACTCCTACAAGATAACACACCAGAATGTATAACACACAACATTCAAATTTGTTTATATTTTCTTTAACTTACATTAAAATAAACATGTCGTAATTCTTCAATAAAATAATTATTCCAGTAAAAAAATCCCAGACTTTCACCTGTCTTATAATCCACTCTAATTTATTCTATTTAGTATAAGTTCTCAACAGTTTGTAGTAGAGCGGTTTGCTAATAACTGTTTTTCACAGGCACTGGTGTGTTTGTTCCCAGACTTCTGTTTCAGCTGCTCATTGCTTGGTGACAGTGCAACACTATCTACTGTTGCATGCTGGGTTTTCAGAAGGCTGTCATTTTTGCATTAAGTGCAAATGGAGACAATATAACTTGTTTTAGAGAGTATTAGATCTAAAACCACTAAAATATAAACACAGATGGGAATTTGGGCAGACCATGTGACTTTAACAGACTGTTGGTGACTTCATGTTTGTCTGTCTGTCTGTGTAAAGGCACAAGACAGAATTTAAAAAAAGGAAATTATAACACTTTTGTGAGGGCCTCAGATTGCTTTTTCTTTTAGATACAATATTATTTTTTGCCTTCACCTTCCTCTTTTACAACATAGACTACCATTACTTCTTTTTTTTATTTTACAACATAGACTACCATTACTTCTACTGTCACAAATTACACTAAAAAACCAATATCTTCAATTATGTCATTGTTGTCAATACAAAGCCTTACGATTACTTGTCCATTTACCTTCAAATGTCAAGGCCCATCACCTCTTTACCCTAAAATTTAACTTTTGAACTAAGCAATACACCCACTGCCTGTTCTGTTATGAAGTTATTTAGGTCAAAGGTCTAAAGTCAACACAGCAGAGGACAATAAAAATCAAAGTCTCAGCCACTTTGTTAATAATCTACCAAATCCCACACGGCTCAGTAATTCCATTAACGCTGCTGACACTGCTGCTGTATCTTTTGCCTCCTTTCAAACTCTAATGACACAAAAATGTGCACGCTGATGTGAACTTCCCATGGTATACATTTACAGACTCCTGCTGTGGTAAACCTGACATTACAGCAGGGAGTATGTAAAACATAAAACCCACATCTCCTGCAAAACCACCATCAACTTTAGCCCAACTATCTGTTTCCCCTTGGTTTCAGTTTAAATCAAAACATTCAATAGCTCTGTAGGCTCTAAGTTGTATGCAGGTAAACATAATGTTCAGATCCAACTACGGTTCTCTCCGGAAGAAACTGTTAGGCAAAAGAGCTTTTCACTTTCAGTTCATCCATCTGGATTGTTCTCTACAGGATGATACCACCCACTCCACTGTACAGGCTCTATGTGTGGATAGTATCTCTATCACCCCACCCCTCAGAGTTGACAAAACCACTACTGTGGCAGATCAGGCAGTTAAAATTGTCATTACCACCTGCTTGGCCAGAGCAGCATATTGCAGGGTCTAGAAATACAGGGAATTTCACAACACGGCTGTAAACAACTCAAGCAACACAAAAATGTGAAAGTGATGCATCTTATTCTAGTATAAGGAATGTGTAACTGGAAGGAAGGAAAGTGAACTACTTGTCATTGTGACACAGCACGCCACTGCACACAATCAAATGTGACCTCTGCTTTTAACCCATCACCAAAGTGAACAGTGGGCAGCTTTAAGTGCCTGGGGAGCAGTGTGTGAGGATGGAGCCATGCTCAGAGCACCTCAGTGGTAACTTGGCAGCTGGTGGACTCAAATCTGAGGCCTTCTGGACCCAAGTCCACTCCCTTAACCACTAAGCAACCACTGCCCCAAAGTGTTGAACATCATGCAAGAGGTCTACTTATTCAGGAAAGCAGAATCCAGCTTTAATTATGGAATATTCTTGCAAAAAATAAATGTAAAACATACACAAAGTTGGAAAAGCTTTGCATGATACCTCTTCACAACACTACTTACATTTTGACATGACGCTGTGCGATGTCCACCCTTGTCACCTCCTCCTCTTCCAGGTCAGAGTCCCCTCCAGAGCTACTTTCTGTCACATCTGAGTCAAAGGCGACTTCAGCTGAATGGAGGTTAGCTGATCCACTCAGATACAGCCTTTCCAATTCTAAGGGCATAGAGCCAGTTTTTAGAAAGCGACTGAGACCATCTCTGTTGTTCGAAGAGTGACGCCCAGTCCTCCACGTAGCTGTTGTGGTCGTTGTCTCTGACTTGCGGTTACTGGTCAAAAGTCGGCTGAGAGCTGAATCCAGGAAGCCACCCAACTGTTGCTGAATGTGCCGCTCCACCTGTTTGGCCTGTACCACCTGAAGACGTTTGCGTAGGCGTCTTAGCCGGCTTTCAATCTCAGCTTGACGGCTGCTGTTGAGAAGTGTGCGCTCTCTAATATGAGCATCAAGGCTGTCTGAAGAAGAACTACATGGCAGGGGCGCAGGTGTGCAAAGTAGGGATCCTTGCTGGCTGCTGCCTGGTGTGTCCCTGTCAGTGCCCTGTGACTGACTGATAGGCGTGTTCGAATTAGCCTCTTCTAAATTCACCTGTTCACTGGGGTTTGAGTTGTTGTTGTTGTTGGTAAATGGGGAAAGTGCAATAGACTGAAGCACTGATGGTTCAACATTTAATCCATCTGTATTTTGAGAAACTCCCAAGGAATGCTTCTGTTTAAGTGTTCCTTTCACTGGGATATGCCCTGATAAGGCAGCTGTCAAGGTCTCAGGGCCTAAGGACAGGCTTTGCGACTGAGAGTCTGTGGTGGCAGGGGGTTTGTCACCATTAACTGCCACTGCACACCCAGCCCCCGACATAGTGGCCAGCTTTTTTGCCAGTCCATTGACCGGTGCCATGGGCTGGCCACCTCCGTTAGTGCTGCCACTCATGAGGGTTTTCAACTGACTGCCAGAGATTTCAATTGCCTGCCTTTTCCTTAACAGGAAGTCTCCTCCGCCGTTAAGCAGGGAAGTAGGCAGTATCCTGTGGCTTTTCAACACAGACTGTTTGATAAGGACTCCTTGTAGCTTGATTGACTCCTTAGGCGAGGAAACCGGTGTCACATCAGAGCACAGGTAAGACGCCACCAGTGGCTGGAGTTTGCCCAGGGCGGAGGCCTGAGACACAGAATCAGTTTGGGGCTGCTGCTCCTGCTCTTCCTGGTTGCCGACACAAAAATCAAGAGGGCACTCTTCGGATGCGACCTTGCACTTAGCGGGGCCACTGCTGTGGATGAGAATGTTGCTGGCGTTACCGTTGTTCTCTGCACTTGCCGGTGAGAGACTTGAAGATGGTGCAGCCAGTTTGAAGCGGATGTGGTGAGCTTCGGCTGGGGCGTCGGTGAGAGCGGGCGCCATCGCAGCCATGCAGTGCAGAGGGACGGGCACCGCGGCCTGCTCCACACAACCCGCTTACTGCCCCACCTGAGGACAGCCTGAACAAGAAAATAAATGGATAAATAAAGACACATGGAGACAAAAATAAAATATATGGTTATAATAAACTCAGGCAATCAATGATAAATTCCTCTTGCATGGTCAAATTAGGAAGCAGGGGTGGAGATTTTCCATTGCTTAAGAATATTTACGAACCCAGACATAAACATACAGGTCTTTTGCAAATAAATTCCTTGAACCAGCAGCAACTTACTACTACTACCAATAGTAAGTTTTAGCAGAAATCAAACAATGTTTATTTCTCAGTATTTGTCATTAGGTTTAGATCATTACAGTTAAGTTAGTTCTATGTTCCTCACAACATAGGACTGCAAAAGATGAACTTGCACTACAGGTTCTGTAAGCCTTAGCAGTGAATGGAAAATTACTAACCACCATACAAACAAAGTACCAGTTCTCTCTAGCACCAAATTGAATTTCTGACAATTTATATATATATATATATATATATATATATATATATATATATACATACATATATATACACATATATATACATATATATACATATATATATATATATATATATATACATACATATATATACACCCCACATAAAACATAGAACAAGAAAAAACACTCCAGGTGAACTAAAGAAACATCATACACTCATACATGGATCTTTCACACAAATTATGGAGCTACTATGTCACCAGGGGCACATTTGAGTTTCAAACTGTAAAAAATATTGATAATGATAAGCAGTGACCTTGAGAATACAATGTTTAATTAAAGTTTAAAACATCTGTTTTAACATATTCCCAAGATAAAGAATCCCACGACATATGTAGTTAGTATGCTTTTTTTTTTATAAATCCAACTCCCTAAAAAACACATTTGATATTGCGTTCTTAAATGAATCTGAAACAGGAAGAGGTCATGCAAATCACCCCAACCCCATTGCCCTATATATGCCCTGGTGTATCTGTGTGCAGTAGGGCTCCATTCAAGGAGAGTAAGTAGGTGGATTTAGGCCTTAGCATTAGTCCAAAGCACATGATGCCACCCTGACTTGGTTCCTATGTCTATTAAAGCTAAACCCAATGCAAATTCAATATTTTTAAAGAATATTTTCCATTAGCACCAAATGTATTAAACAGAAATTGTTTGAAGAGTATTGTTTGTTTGTTTTTTTTTTGGCTAAACAGCCTTATTCTTCTGACTGCCAACACAAACATCAAACAAAGTAGAAAAAAGATTCTCCCCTCAAATAACAGGGAAGATGAAAGGGAGTTGCATCTGATCCTATCGTCTGCAGGGTCAGATGAATGGGGGCTCAGTATTTCACCGCAGTTTCTAGTCAGCGCGCACTACGCCATGTTGGTATTTCCAAAGGAGATTATGCAATGCGATTCATCTACCTATAAAAACGCCCATCCCGCTTTAAACACAGATCATGTTCATTTTATATAACAGGAAATATAGATTACGTTGGTTAACATACATGCATCACGGTATCACTTTATTTATGAACCAGCAGTATATATGCGACAAAAGTACATCACATATTTTCTAGACGAAACATAATCGCCAAAATGTCTACCTTTATAGTTATTTAAAAAAAAACACTGCTGGGAAGGAAAGCATAGCAAAGCAGTCAATGTCAGACTACCTCATCCGTGCGTTTGTTAGTGCAAGTGTAAATGGCATTAGATCACAAAACCTCTTTTAAGATACAGAGGACAGGTCGCTGTTTATTGTCACTGAGCCGTGTTGCAGCGATCACGACGAGAACTCACGGGAACGGAAAGACAAACGTCGTTAAACCCTGTCACCACCATCACACCACCAAATAAATGCGCTTCGCTTCCAGTGAACGTTAGCCGTATAAAGCTGCTGATGCAAGAAACACAACCTGCTCGACAGATAGCGTGCGACTCCCACTATAGTGCAACTGCAGTGGATCACTATATGCCATCCGCCTCACATTGTCTCATTTTATTTGTAGCTTTCCTTCCAATATTGCTGCTTTAATGTCCATTTATCCTGCAAAGGTTGCCTTTTTGGCTTTACGTAAACCTCGCTGACCAAGTAAACATGTTAGTCACTGTCTACGTAACGCAGATCACCTCACAGTTTTAAGCCAATAACGCCCAGACATTAAAACGGTCTTTCGCGACCAAAGCCACGATAACGTTGACATTCACTTTAGAAATAGATCCGGAACATCATTCGGTCCATGTTCTAACATTAAATACACCAGAACATTGAAAAATCGCTCATTAATCTGAACACAACTTATTTCCAACAGTGCTTGTGAGACGTAATGCAGAGCAGAGACACGGTGTGCATTGCAATGAGACTACGGAAATAAACAGAGGAGGTTGTCGGAAAATATATGGCGCCCGTGCTTTGCCGTAGTTGAGCACACGGATCCTGGTTACTGAAATAAAGTGTATTGTATATGTAGATGTGTGTAAAACGTTATAAGTTGGGAGTATACCTTTGCCAGTCGAGCTAGCTCGCTAACAAAGAAAAAGGAGGAACCTACCACGTGACGAGGTTGCACTATCCGAGGGAATTTCGGCAACAATCCCCTGCAGTTTACGTAAAAAACACAAGAGTGCTAGCACACACACAAAAAAAACGCCAATTGACTTTATCACTCGGCCATGAACTAATCCATGAAAAAGGCAGCTGGACTGTGTGTAAAAAAAAATGCTCCGCTTCGCAGAGCCTCTCCTCGGGTTCGTTCCGGATTCAGGCAATGGGCGAATCAACGATCTACACCTTCTTCGGCGGCACTAGCTCGCCTCGCCGCCACAGCGAATATAAACCCAGGCCGCGAAACGGTCCTTTCTTCCCCGAATACTTCAAACGTAGGCGGATTTACGATAGTCCATGAGCAAAAATCCAGGTTCTCGTTACGCGAAATGTAGTCCAGATGGCAGTTTTACCGCGGAGCTTTTTCTCTCGTTTTAGGGAGAGACGCTTAGAAAATGGCGGCTATCTCCGCTCCCTCGGCTTTGAGTCTGACAAACATAGAAGAGCAGTGTGTGCGCGCACGCGTGCTAGTGTGTGCGTGTGTTGCTTGCTGGTAGGCGGGAGACATTTCTCATACTCACCACTAGAGTAAAGGGCAGATAAGAAACGGCAGAAAAGCTCAAAAGGAGATACCACAGGAGGGCATTGTCTTTCCAAAACACAGCACAATGTCAAGTTAGACAGAAGCTATTGTAAAAAAAAAAGTTAAAGGTAGTTAAACCGCAGTCACTGCAGCTGTTAATTAAAAAAAAAGTTCTACACGTCACATTATAATTATTTACACTTCAAAACGGATAAAACGTCATTTAAGTAAAACTAGTTTTGTATTTTAAATGTCCATATGAGTCATCCAAGTCATTTAATCCATACATCGAAAGCAACTTAAAAAAAAACAACTTTGTCCAGTTGCCGATGTAACTATTTATTTGGATATTTACTTCTTACGCTTATGGAATAGAAAGTATTACCTCAGTTTAAAAACACTGAGATCAAAATTGCTGGTGGGTTATTATGGCATCACGAAAAACGGCTATTTGTTAAACCAGTCCTGTTCAACTGTAGGATCAGGTTTATGATCACCTTTATGTAAAAAGGTGTCACTTGTGTACACAAAATAACAAGAGAACAAGGTATTTGTCACAATAATTTCACGTGTCAAAAAGATAATGGATCAAAGAGTTTTGACTACCAGTCAGACTAATAATTTTTTACTACACATGCCTTGAGACATTATTGTAAAGTACTTACTTTGTGATTTCTATATCAGATGAAGAGTTTTAGTACTTCATTTATGAACAAAAATATTTAGGAAGCCTACATCATTTTACATAGCATACGCAAAAATATATTTCTGGAAAAAAAATAGTCTTAGACCTGGGGACGTAAGTTGTTGTTGGTCACAAAGTAGGGGAGGCTATACAAAGTTGTCTCAAAAAACGTGTCATGAACTGTATTCAGTACCAAGAAGTTCAAGTAAAGAGATAAACAAGGTACAGGACAAACTGGCTGATTAGTCAAACAAACAGAGATGTGCTTTAAGGCCCTAGAATACTTAATAAAATAGTCAACAAAGCCAAAGGAATGCACTGCAGGATTTAGGGTCAAGAAAAAACTATGTATCTGCTTTGAAAACCTCAACAAGCAAGAATAAAAGAATGTCTTATGGAGGAAGACCCCTAAATTCAGTCAGACAAAACAAAAATATAATTCCTCTGTTAAGAGATGTTGCACAAGTTAACAAAAAAAGAAGGGAAGCATATAACCTAGAAAAACAAAAAAAAACATGGTGCAATATGTATCTTGGTCGTGGGTTTGTCTTACAACATGACAATGACCTGAACCACACTTTTGAAACTGAGTAACTATCTCCAGGAGGCAAAATCAGTGTGACTGACTAGACTGCACAAAGCTCAATTTAGTGAAGAAAAAATAGCTGGAGTGGACTTAAGTTCATGGTCCATATCAAAAGACTATTAATTATGGATAAGCTTAGTGTGTGTTCAGGGATCATGCTCTGGGCAGACTCTCCTGAACCTCTTAAAAAAAAGATTATTTTAGTTTGTCAACAACAAATAAAACAATACATTTTCTTTCTTTCTTCTCTTTCTGAGTTCTAACACATTCTAGTTTTGTGAACAAGTATTCATTAAAGGTTCCTTAAAATGTAATACAGTACGAGCACAAAATTCAGAAAAGATAACTTTGTAAAGTCAATTGAAATAACAGAACTAAGATGGACTATGGAAGAAATGTTTTGTGACCTTAACTGTTTATATTAATGCAAACTTTTTGCTTCATTGGTTTGTCATGTTCCCAAGCACAACAACTATGGGCTAGGCAGGACTGCAAGGCTATGACCAAAACCTCTTTTTAAAATACCAATGTCTGACATTTATAAAATGCCAAAAAAATAGTGATCGTTCACTCAGTAAAACCAAGGATCTTGTAAATATTTATAAATAAATAAACAGGAGAAGGTCTGGCATTCTTTTTTTTTATCTACACAAATTGCAAGGTTAAAATATACTCAGATCAAACAGCAGTGCCTGCGATTGATATAAGTAGCTTGATATCTTGTCATAATGTCATAATGGTGTGACCTGAATAACGTGCTGCCTGTACACTGTGGTTACTAAGACCTTATACCCAGATCTAAATAACTTGAAACCACGTAATAATGCCTAGTCAGAGTGACTCACTGTGCATTCTATTAATACCTAACAACAACAGTAGTTCAGTAGTTTAAGAGACCTAACTGGTTCAGTTGCACTGAAGTACATTGTTTTTAAAACCGCAAATGTTTTACAGTCTAAGCCAATGGCCACTAGAGGGAGCTAGTTCATACATGACGTCACATGCGTCCACACGTAAATACAAAACAGTACTGTTTATTGATTGATCTCAAACTACTACAACAATAATTATATTTCATGAAGTGCGTCTCCTAAGTTATACATATTTTGAAGCTTTTTTTGCAATGAATTCTTATTTATTTCTTTAATTAAAACTATCCTCTGATGGTGGATATAAGGGTACTTATTTAAACATTTAAATTCAGCTGTTTAGTCTTTCTTTTACAAAGCTGTCTTATAAAATAACATCACATATAGTGTAAAATGTATATTTATGTGAAATAAAATGAGTTACATGACAAATTAACACAGCCCACCCACATCACGTAAATTAAGTTTATGTTTAACTGCTAAGTAACGCAAATATATGCAAAACACTTATTTTCCACCACTTATTTTCTGATGACAGTTGGAGCGTTATAACAGTGTGAGAGCGGATATGCATAGTAAATAAGAAATCAATCAGTCGGGGATGTGTGTACATGTGTAAATTCAAGAGCTGTGTGTCAAAGCACAAAATCAAACTAAATATTTTCCTGAAAAAAAGTCTAAAAGGCAGAAAGTAAAACAACTAACAGTCACCATATGTTAAAGTTTTCAAAGTACAGTGATGTTCCCCATCTGTACTGCAGCTGACCACAAACATCATTCGAACTACTGTTTATTCCGCCCCAAGGCAGAGTGGTAACAAGGCAAAACTTTCTTGCACCCTAACCACAGCCTGCAGCTGTTCCTTGAGGGGTTTTAAAACAATTCCTACACCTGCTGAGATACTGCACAACCATTTTCTAACTTTTTCTACGAGGCCTTAATTTTCTAAAGATCAGAAAGGATCACAGGTTAATTTTCAACATCATTAGCCATTATCCTGACCCAAAAATGTAATATAGTGGTCAATGCTGATGTGTCAGGCTCAGTCAGAAGCACAATAATGTAGAATCAGTCAAAAAGGCACAGGAGTATGGTAACATAGCAAGATAAAAGTGTCAGACACACCTTAGCATTGTAATCCATGTAAAAAGTATTTAAAAGAGCCTCTTGTTTATACCAAATCATACTAATTTACATATACAGTATGTGTTATTTACCTTAATTTTTAAATTTCTTTTTACTTTAATGTATATGTTTACTGTAGTTAGTTACTGTTGGCTTAGGAAAATATATACAATTTGTACATTTATTTAAAGTTGGCTCAAGGGGTTTTGAAGCAGATTGTAAAGAGAAAGTTTCTATTAAAACAAAGTTCTACAAAACCGTTTTTGGTTATATTCTGGTTTTAAAAAAATCTGTAACAGCACCAAAAACTTGACTGAAAATTTCTGTGATTTCAGGGATTACATTTTAATTTATTTTTGTTTCTCTTTTTCTTTTTACAGTTAACATAATTCGTTTGTTTTATCATTACAAAGCAAATTTTGCAACTGAAATTCTGCTTTAACATATTCCCCATTTTCCAACATTTACATATAAAAAATAATTAAATTCTTGATGGAAAAATATTATTTCAAATACCCAATATGAAATAATTATTAGTTGCGGCTACAATATAATTGTTTCTATTAAGGGAATACCTTCAACTCCATTGTTACATTACTCCATTCAGTAATCCACAGGGCCATAGTTCCAGTGGAAATTGTAAGACACACCTAAAAATACAGAAAAACATTTTTTTAAATAATGTTATCAACAACTTCCCGCACTTCAGCACTGAACTAAGCTCTGCAGACGTATTTGTGAGTCTGAATGATTTTTTTTTTTACGTCCAGCTGGCCGTTATCTACAACTGGCTAATGTTTTCACAATACATTGATTTATGATTTAAAAGTTCTACATGTTAATTAATGCCAATTCAAATGCTGGTATAGTAATAGTAAAATTGTGGATTGTCCACTCTGACGAGAGTGATGTAAAGTATGCACTGCCATTGACTTTTACAGACTGATTATAAAGTAACTTTGTGCCGACGCTACTTGTGTAGCTAACGTAACGCTGCTAACAGGCTGAAGCTAACGCTGGTTAGCTTCTGTGCTCCATGGAGAGTTCTCAATGACTGCCGTCTTCTGCACGTAAAGCAATTCAATGTATTAAAAAATCGACCTAACTAAAATCCAGTGAAGAAGAGTTCAGCATATTGACCGTTTTTCTCTTGACAAGCTGGACGTCAGTTAATTTAGATAACAATAAGACGATAAAATCTTACTTACCTGCTTGTCCTGTTACTAACCGTTTACGACTTGATAACAACCCGCCTCAGTCCTGCTATTGGTCCGTTCTTCTATTCTGGGCTTCTAATTGGCTGAAACACATGCCAATTATAGCAAATACCCGTACAGCGGAAATGTGTCTGAAAGTTCTTAGCACGAAACTTCATATTCAAAAAATAATATTTTCTTGTAATGGTGCCTAATTGTGCATTTAACCATCCCTTGAATTCGTATATGACTGTTGCAAATATGCAACTACTACAGTGTTAATTTACACCAATCACATGCTAGCTGTACACAGCCCAGCCTGGTGTATTTTCACCCGAAATTATCCATGATACATGTTTTGTTTATGCTTTGGCCTGGGGACTTTTCTCAAATATGAGACGAAGATTAGCGGAAGACGATGCATAGTACAAACAGACAATTCCAAATGATTTTAAAACAATGTATAATGTTGATCTATGCACCTCATGCTACATTGATAGTGCTGGTGGAAAGTTGTTTAGAATGTCCGAATATGTCCAACTGGTTTCTCGAGAAACAATCGGTGTGGACACGGTAGTCAACATTACTGATGGGATTTAAGCTTCAACTAGAACTCGTCTGGTAGAAAATGTGTAAGCAATGACAATGTGGATGTAAGTATAAATCAGTAGGAAAGCACAGATCTCTAA